CGGAATTCGGGAGTGCCTAACACCTTCTCCCGAATTAACAGAATTCCTTACTCGGATTTCTGGTTCGCGGACTGTTAAACAGAGTCATATTTTCCTTGATTCGGGATTAAAACCGGTGACTTGGGACACCATAAATCTCCCAAGTGGCGACTCTGAAATAAATAAATAAATCTCGTTTCGATTGTCCTTTAATTGGAAAAAACTCCCCTCCGCGCCCCCTTGAGGCGGCACGGGCGAAAAAGGAGGTGTGACACTCATAAACCGTAAAAGTTCATTCTTAAAAGGACGATTCTCGTTATTGAGGCCGGATTCGCTCTCCCCAGCCCTATCGGTGTCAACTTCGCCCTTAGGAGTGTTGTTTTCGACCCTTGTTGTTTGATTCGGGGGAGCGCCGGGAGGAATTGGATCTCGTCTGTTCGCATTATTAGAAGCCCCCGATAGCGCCTACTTCAACTCCGTCATAACCTTATCTTGTTGCATGAGGTGGCCTATAATGATCGCATGTTGCTCTTACAAGACCCTTACCGCATCAACGACATGTTCCTCATCAGCATCAACGGGAGTTGTCTCCCCAACATGTCGAGGATATTGCCTGTCATGCACCGGTGTGGCGCCATTCCCCTCATTGTGGGTGTCGCTGATTGAGTCCTCGAAATGAGGCTGATCTCCTCGAATCTCGGGGTTGTGCGTGTTGTTAAAAGTGTTATCTGCCATTTCTTATGATTTTTTGTAAGACAAAATAATCAAAACATGTTAGTAAAAGGGCAAGAATCAATTTAATTGCACGACTGTCTAGGCCCCACGGTGGACGCCAAATTGTTTACCCGTAAAACGGTACAGCTGAATTTATACGTGATTTCTAGATAAGTGAATTAATTTAATCCTGAAATAATAAAATAATTGAAGAATTATGCAATACTTAGCCTTACGATGTAGACGAAATAGCAGAAACAGCAGTTCCGGGAATAGGGTTTTCGGGCACAACAACAATGAAATTAAAAAGCAAGGAAATAAGATTGTATTAAGCTTTGTATGGAATGTAGCATAAGTTTTCCAGAAAATTCGTGTCCTTTACAACGATAACTGAGCGCACTATTTATAACTACGTCTAGGGAAGGAGGTTTTAGGATCGTACCCCTTTTTAATGTCAATTATGAGGGTCATTGATGAAGATGCAACGGTGAATACAAATGCTAAATTCCTTGTAGCGAACAATCGTATTTAATGCCATGAAATATTCTCTATTAAATACTACTGGGCGAAAAGTATTTATTATATTCTTATAAGCTTTATTCTTCCGGTGATAGACCGAACAGTTGCCTTCGGCCTTAGCCATCCCCCGTCTTGGGTTCTACGTGTCCCTCTTCTGGACAGCCACGTGTCATAGCATATTTTACCCTATACAGTAGTAATTGTAACGGAAGCAAATTGATAATTTAGCCGTGTTATAAAATTCTAAAATTTTCTGTCTGCAAAAATAACCAAAAATAAGGGCTGGGGTTTATGTTAAAGCCTAGTATCACAGCTGGGTTTTGACAAGTGTGTAATATTTACACTTGCGTCCTTGAAGTTTAGGAAATAGCACTCCGCCCACTTTTGGACATTTGTTTAGGAAATAAACACAGTTTTTGGCTGTTTCATTCCAATACAATTCATCAGCTGGCAGTGCCATTTTCCATTTGGCTTCCGCAGAATGTAACACAAAAACAGCACCGCTACACCAAAAGTCAAATACAAAATTAACCATTGATGCGATGCGTTCGCGGTTTAGAGCTTTCTCTCAAATGGGGTTCTCTAGAAAAGTTCGCACAGCAAATAATTATCCAGTGAACTCCCAAGCAGCAAGTACTTTTTCCCCCTCTCCCTTTTTTCACTTCTTCTTTTAATTTTCTTTTTCATGTATATGTTTTTAAGTTTATATATATGTGTGAACAGGTGAAAAAATGGAGAAGAGTATCTACACTATTCTAACCATGGACCGTTGGGACTCGCTCAATCATATGGGGTATAAAATGGCTTCACTGAGGCCAATTCATGGGAAGTTAGCTTTGAAATTTTTGAACTGGTTTATTAAGCAACCCGGTTTAGAATTCAGTCACATTATTCATATGTATGGTATAACTACCCACATACTCGTTAGAGCTAGAATGCATGACTATGTTAAGTCAATTTTGAGGCATTTATCTGACATAGGTGTTACGCCAAGTTCTGTTTTTGAGTCTCTTATGGATACATATCGTCTTTGTAGTTCGAACCCTTCTGTTTTTGATGTTTTAATTAGGGTTTATGTGAGAAAAGGTACACTTAATTATGCTCTTCAGATTTTCCATTTGATGAGTTCTCGAGCATTTAAACCATCGGTTTACACTTGTAATATGCTCTTAGCAGCGATGGGGAAGCAGCAGAATGCTGAGTGTGTATGGTCGTTTTTCAAAGAAATGATTGCTAAACATGTTTGCCCTAATGTTGGTACATTCAATATACTTTTACAAGTTCTTTGTGCCAAAGGAAAGGTCAAGAGAGCGAGTTATTTGCTTGCGAAGATGGTAGAGAGTGGTTATATCCCTGATGTGGTTACTTATAATACTTTGCTTAATTGGTATTGCAAAAAGGGCAGGTATAAAGAAGCTTTAGAATTGATCGATTGCATGAATTCTAAGGGTCTTGAGGCTGATGTTTGTACGTACAATATGTTTATAGATGACTTATGTAGGAATAATAGGAGTTCTAAAGGTTATTTACTATTGAGGAAGATGAGGAAGAGATTGATTGTTCCGAATCATATCACTTATAACACTCTTATTAACGGGTTTGTGAAAGAGGGTAAGATTGATGTTGCAATGAAGATTTTTCATGAGATGCTGACATTAAATCTTTCACCAAATTGTATAACTTTCAATGCTTTGATTGATGGGCATTGTCTAGCAGGCAATCTTAAAGAGGCTCAAGAAATGCTGAATGAAATGGAGCTAAGAGGTTTAACGCCCAATGAAGTTAGTTATGGGGCTCTCTTGAACGGTTTCTGCAAGCATGGCATATTAGATTCTGCAAGAAATATCCTCAAGAAGATGAAGTTTGATGGATTATCTCCTAATCATATTGCATATACAATGTTAATAGAAGGGATGTGCAAAATGGGGTCACTTGGAGAAGTTGTACCTTTACTTGAGGAAATGTTTGAGAGGGGTATATGTCTTGATGTTGTTGCATACTCGGTGCTTCTAAATGGATTTTGTAAAGCTGGAATGCTAAATACAGCAATGGAGATATTAAGTAAGATGTACAGGTTTGGTGTTTTTCCAAACGATGTGGTATACTCTACTTTGATCTACAACTTCTGTAAGCAGCAAGATCCCCTAAAAGCAATCAGAGTCTATGCAATGATGCAAAAATCAGGCCATAGTCCTAACACTTTCATATGCAACTCACTAATATCTTCTCTTTGTACTTGTGGAAGAGTAAGAGAGGCAGAGGATTTCATGCGTCACATGCATAAGATTGGTCTTGTTCCCAGTTCTATTGCTTTTACTTCTGTTATTGATTGCTACGGAAGTGTAGGTGAAGGGTTAAAAGCACTATCCTGGTTTGACGAAATGATTAACTTGGGTAGTCAGCCTAGCTTGTACACCTATGCAAGCTTACTAAAGGGAATATGCAGAGGAGGAAACCTTACAGAGGCACTTGGGTTTTTTGATAGACTCCGTGGAATTTGCTGTGCTACAGATGTTGTTGTCTACAACTCATTGCTGGCTGAGCTCTGTAAGTTAGGCCACTTGCACATGGCGTTAATCCTTATCGATGAGATGGTTCAGAATAACGTGCTCCCTGATAGTCATACATACACCAATCTCCTAGCTGGCTTGTGTGGGAAGGATAAGTTGGTTGCTGCAATTCTTCTGTTGGGAAGAGCATTAAATAGAGGAAACCCCTCTTCAAACCAGGTCATGTATACGTGCATCATTGATGGTCTTTTCAAGAGTGGCTTGCCTAAGGTTGCCCATTACTTCTATGATGAGATGACAAGGAGTGGACTTACCCCAGATACAGTGGCACTGAATGTGATGATGGATGGTTACACAAAACATGGTCAAATGGATAAGGTTAGCAGTTTCATTTCTACAATGAGACAGAGAAATCAAATGCCTTCCTTGGCTACATACAATATTCTATTACGAGGCTACTCGAGACAGAAAAACATATCTGAGTGCTCTAAGTTGTATCAGTCACTTAGAAAAAAAGGTTTTGCTCCAGATAAATTAACATGCCATTATGTGATTTGTGGACTCTGTGAGTCGAGCCTGCTGGATATTGGAGTTAAGTTTATGATAAAGATTATTGTGGGAGGAACAGTGGCAGATAAATTCACATTCAGCATGATTATCAGTAAATATAGTGAAAGGGGTGAGATGAAGAAGGCCCTTGATCTACTTACTTTAATGACTGCCGTTGGTGTTTCTCCTGATGGAGACACTTACAACTCAATATTTAAGGGACTGAAAAGAACATTGGACTTCGAAAATTCACGTCGTCTCTTGCATAAAATGTTCGAAGAGGGCTTCATCCCAATTGACAGACAATATAGTAATCTAATCACTAGTATGTGTAAAGTTGGAGATGTAAAAGGAGCATTCAAAGTAAAAGATGAAATGGAGTTGTTAGGTGTTAGTTCCCGTAATGTAGCTGAGGGTGCGATTATACGGGGGCTTGTGCATCGTGGGAAGATGGAGGAAGCAATGCTGGTACTTGAATGTATGCTTCGGGTGCATCTAATTCCAACTGTTGCCACGTTCACAACTGTTATGCATGGACTTTGCAAAAGTTCTAAGGTCTCTGAGGCCTTAAAATTGAAAGCTACAATGGATCTTCATGGTGCAAAGGCAGATGTTATTGTTTACAATGTCCTGATAACGGGCCTTTGTGCTGGTGGCTGTATTGATCATGCGTTTGATCTCTATGAGGAGCTGAAAGAGAGGAGTCTGTGTCCCAATGTTACAACTTTTACAGTTCTTGTCAATGCCGTCTGTTCTGCAAACGATCTTGCAAAGGGTGAAAGTCTTCTAAGTGATCTGCAAGAGAGAGGATTGGCAGGCGAATATTCAAGCACCGAAGCCTTATGTGAAAGATTGACAGTCGTGAGGGAGAAGCTAAATGCTTTAAGAAAGAAGAAAAAGAAAAGAAGCTAAGTATTGCTGTAGAAAGAACGAAAAGCTGATCAATTTAACACTGGGAACATTTATCTTGCTTGCTGGAGATAAGGTCTCCATGGCAGTCGGTCTCTAACTTAAACCAGCTTCAATAATTGAAATCAGGCTATCTGATACATCTGCAGCTTGAACTTTGGTCGCTTCTACCTTTTGAAGGCTATTTCTGCGTTTGATATCCTTTTAGATATCCGTCATACAAGGTGGTTATAAGAATTATTCTGCAGTTCACGAGGTGGTGTACTGTATACCGACACTGATCTGTCAGAATAGGTATTTGGCATTCCTTTGTTTATTCTGTTTTAATGCACTAGGGCTGTCTAGTGAGCTTCATCTGCAGTCTGTTCAATTAATTTGTTTCGGCTTATTGCTTGGCCTTTATGTTTGGATTACTTCTGCAGCTTATGTGCTCTAGCAAGATGTATAGAGTTGAAATCTTGCATAAATCACAGGGGAGCTTCAGCATTACTATAAAGAAGGCCAATTGTGAAACATAGGTAAAAGAGTGCTGCTTGAACTGTCCTAGTTGCTTTAGCATTAATGTCTAGAAGTATCTATCTGATGCTTTAACTTATTAGTTTCTTTTTCAAATTTCACAACCAGTACTGTCCATATGACAGCAAATTGCAATAGCATAGCTGAAACTTTTTCCATCTTTGAGACTAAGAGTTTGCCGAATATTCTTGTTATAATTTGGTCTATGCAGCTGCTGTTCTCCGACTCTCTGCTAAAGTTCGAACAAATCCTGCCTCCACCGACTTTCTGAAGTAGAGATAAGGTATCTTCAATTGTTGTTGATCATAATCCTATTCAATATGTTCTCCCCTTCTTGGTTATTTGAAGTCAGAGATCATTTGGGTGACTGTGGTCAGGTATTTGACAGTTCATTAACATGACATGCTCTACTGGTGACAAGCTTTTTCTTGTCGCTTGTTTCTCAACACCTCTGTCCAAAACATAATAAGAAAAAAAAGGCAGGTCATATGGAGATGATGTGTATGGATCATCAGGAAACCATTTATAGACTTAATTACCTTGGAGACTGCATTCTCCAGACTTTTTGAAGTCAGTTTCTAACAGATCTCCTTTTTAAGTTAGTCTTTTCTTAAACTACATTTTGTTTTGAGAACTGTGAGTTTCCACTGTTCTAACGGGTTGTCATTCTGTTTTCACCTAGGACTTGTTGAGTATCGGAGTATTGGATGCTGAGAAGTCATGATCTTAAAGGTCATGATATACGTTCATCAGCCCAGCTTGTTCTCGATTTGCTAGAAAATGAACTCAGTAGCAATGGCAGATGCACTTCTTCTCAGACAGCTTACTGAGACCTCATCATATCTGCGAATTCTCAACAAGGCAGCTCCTTGATATACGGTGTACCGCAACATCTTTAACATATGTAAACCTAATAATGAAGGCATGCAGCTGCATAAAGATGTGGGTCATCAACTTGCAGCCATATCTGAGGCAATAGGAGGAAGTCTGGCGGAGAGATAAAATGTGAAATGCCCATTTGGTTTAGCTTATTTTCTTTATGCAGCAGACGATTGTCTTTGTTCCCTTGGCAGATAGAAAATGTAGGCCAAATACATAGATGGCCCCCTAAACTTGTCCCGATATTCTACCTGGCCACCTAAACTTGGCTATGACCATTTGAACACTTTAACTATACCAAAACTGTCTCATTTTGACACACTTTGCTTACATGTTATTGTGCATGATTCGCAACTCATGCGAGCGTGACATGCGATATATTATTGTTCAAAAGAGGGGGGATAAACAAAAAAATATTAGTTTTTCTCTTTCTCGTTGTCCGAGTATCCGGCTAGCTCTCAGCTATCTATGCCTCTCTTCTTCATGTTGTCAGCATACTTCTTTTATCTTCCCGGTTTTGGGCCTCGCAATTCTCAAACTAGAGGTGTTTACCGGACAATTGAATTGATTAACTAATTTATCTAGTTTATTGATCGATAGGATTAATATTGCTCATAAGAATTTGTCGAGTTCTTACTCGCCTATTCAAGTTAACTTAATGTCCATATGTCTATGGAATTAGAACTAACAAGAATGCCTTTATAAATTCTGTATATCAACCAAGTAAGATAATTAGGTATATGTTTATCCTAACCGCGAATCCATTCCCCGATACTTAGGTTCAAGAACTTGCTCTGCTCAATCCTATATGCAATCTAGAATACTCACTTTTGAGTTCAATTCTAGTTCATAAATAGTATTCAATTGGTGATCAAGTAACCAAATAATTATGTGCGGGATTGAATAAATAAACTAATACGATAAATCAAGAAATCAAAATCAATATTCGAATAACAATAATTATGAAAGAACCACAACCCTAAAACATGAAGTTTAGCTCCACATAGACATGGTAGCTAAACAACAAATCATCCAAAAAAACATAAATTACTAAGCTTGGGGGAAGAAAAGATAAAATCTGGCCTCCACGACGGGTCCTTGCTCTCCCTTGGTTGAATTCCCTTAAAAAGTGTGTTTAAGGACTATATATATGTGTAGGAAAAGTCCTAGACGATTTTAACCAAATCCAAAAACAAGGAAAAGTTGGCCTCTGAAATATATTGGGCGCGCCGCACTGTTTATGGCACTAAGTTTGGGTGCTATGGTAAGCGCGGGCACTGAGTATGGCACTGAAATTCGGTGCTACGGTAGGTGCTGGGCACTAACTATGGCACTGAACCATTATTTCTCCATTCTTCTTCCAATCACTCCTACACAAATGCACTCTAAGTATCACTATTATTACATTAAAATTTGAGGCAATTATCATCATATTATATGTACTTTTATCCAATTATCACTGGGAAAATGTAACCCATTTATAGTCGATTATATGTAACCCATGAAAATACGTTATATTTTCATTGTTAGACTATCGTTACATGTTTAATCTACCCTCACATGCCTTATTTGTAATTGTTAACATTTGTTCCACCTTTTGCTTGTTAATTGCTCTTATATGCTTTAGTTGAAGGTATTGTCTTCCTTATGGTCCGTTACTTCTTTAATTGTTGAATTGTTTACTTGAAGTTGTTGTTTTCATGGAATAGCTTCTTGTTGAGTATTGATGTTGAAGTTGTAAAAGTCGTGATCACATTAAGGCAAAGTTGTTAATTATTGAAATACAGTTCTTGTTGAGCTATTCACTTTCAGTTTGCTATTGTTGGGACTCTTGTACACATTGTGGTTGAGTCATGGGCTATTTGTTGTGGAAATATTGGTGTTGTTGATTCTTTTGGCGAGTTTTGGCATATGAGCACTTGTGGTGCGAGTTGTGATTATGTTGTGATATTGATGCGCATGCGGCGGTATAAGGATAAGGGTTAATGTGCATGCAGCGGCATAAGGTGGGATTTATGTACATTTTCCTAGTAAGGGAATTACTTGAAGCCACACAGCGACATAAGGTAGGCTAAAGTTCGTGTAGCTATTTCGGAAAAACTGTATTCAAAACTATCTAAATGTAATGCTCACACACGATATAAGGAAAGATTGTGATTGTGATTGTGAAATGAGATTACGAGACGGTACCTTGGTTGTGATTCTTGCTGTCATCTCTCATTTACCTCACTTGTATTTGTCCTCATTGTTTTCTTGATGTTCTTAATATGTGTTTCTTCCTTGTTGCATTTATTGCTTTAAATTCAGTTGTAGTCGATCTTGTTGTATTTTTTTATTGCCCATTTTTCTCATTTCTATTCTTATATCGTATTAAACTTGTTCAACTTCTTTTTCTTATCCTAGTAGGTGTCTTAACCTGGCATCATCACTACTCTACCGAGGTTAAGCTTGATACTTATTGGGTACCGTTGTAGAGTACTCATACTACGCTTCTGCATATCTTTGTGCTGATCCGGGTACCTCATATCAGGATAGGCATAAGTGATTTGGCTATTCATCTCGGAAACTTCAACGTACACCTGCCCGGCGTTCGCAGGCCTAGGACTCACCCTCTATCCTTGTTTTTCTATTGTATACTCTTTATTTAGACAGGGATGTATCAGTATATTCGTGTAGAATTTATGACTCAGTCTCACCAGATTTTGGAAGTTATAGTCAGCAGTATTGTTGAGTTCTATTATGGTAGCTTGATGGTTAAATTTGAAGTTCTATTGTTATTTCCGCTATTTCTTCATGTATGTTACGCTTACCTAGTCTTAGAGACTAGGTGCCATCATGACATCCTATGATGGGAGATTGGGGTCATGACACTGTTGGAGATTTCATGGTTGCTCTGCTATTCAATTCGCAAACTTTGGAGTCCCTTTCCTTACTTTTGTTATTACTGTTTATGTACTTCAAACATTATTGTATCGTTATTCAGACCATTGTACTTATTCTATAGATATTATGTACTCATTGACACCAGGTTCTGGAATGGTATTTCAGTTGTATCGTTATTTGGCTACAGTTATTTATTTTATTCTGCTTTTGGGACTATTTCTTACTGTTATTGAAGTTTATTTCTGTCACGACCCAAATCTAAACATGTCGTTATGGTCCCAATCACAGTACAAGGCAAGCCAATCACAAAATAACTACGCATTTTAAATTAACAGCATGGTGTAATAAGTTAAACAGTGAAAAATCTCATAAATAACCGATAAGAACAATTGCGACTCAACTACAAAATCCCTAAAATCCGGGTGTCATCGAGTACATGAGTTACTAAGTATCAACACATTCTAAATTTCTAATACAACTGTCTCTAAAAATAGAACAATATTAAATAAACTGAAAAGAAGGAGAGTCGAGCTCTGCGGGCGTCATAGCAGCTACCTCAATAGTCTCCTAGCAGATACCGCTCTAAGTCTAGCAACCACTATGTCCAGATGTACTTGGATATGCACACGAAGTGCAGAGTGTAGTATGAGTACAACCGACCCAATGTACCCAATAAGTAACAGGACTAACCTTGGGCTAAAAGTAGTGACAAGCTCAGAAAGGTGCAGTCCAAATCCATATAATAACAGTACAGATATAATAGGAAAATGACAGTAATAACTCAGAGAAATCCCATAATCCAGGGTGATGCTGTGCAATTATATTCATGATATTACACGGTGAGGACGAGAGAAAAAGCACGAAGGGTGATGTCTTCCATTCAACATTTCATTACCTTGTTTGATTTCCGATTTTAATGATTTTCCTTGGTTATATTGTTGCTTATTTCGGAAGATGTTATTTTGTGATCTCATACGTATAGTTTTATGATATCTTCACCTTCACATGTCCCATCCTATGTTAATATATTAGCGTTCTACTTATTATTTTGATGCTTCATATATATTTGTACAGGGTTTTCACATATGTGTCTTGTCATAGCCTCGTCACTACCTCGTCGAGGTTAGGCTGGACACTTACGGAGTACATTGGATCGGTTGTACTCATACTACGCTTTTGCACTTCTTGTGCAGATACTGGTATTTATCCCAGTGGTGCTTAAAGATGCGTCAACTCGGATCACTTTGCTTCGGAGACTCGAGGTAGATCTGCTGGCGTTCACAGACCTTGAAGTCCCCGTCCATTTCCTATCTTTACTGTTTATCTCTTTCGAACAGTTGTACTATTTTAAACTATGCTTGTAGACTTCTAGTTGTTCATGTACTTGTGACTCCGGATTTCTGGGAGTAGTTAGTATCATGTTGCTTATGTTCGCATTGTATTAGATTTGGAGTTTATTTCTCGTTTAATGTCATTACTTTGAAATAATTGTGAAAAATTGGTTAATTTATTTATTAACACCGGTTTGCCTATCAAGTGATGTTAGGCACCATCATGGTATTGAGGTTGAAAATTTCGGGTCGTGATACTAATGGAAGTCTCGAAATACAAAAATAAGGGTTGATGTTCAAAACGACCAATCGAATCGTATCATTACGTATACAAAATAAAAGAATTGACTAGTTAGGGAGTCAAATGACTAATAATATATATTGGAGTACTAATTGAAAGCTGTCTATGTATGGCTGCATATGGATTACTTTCTCGATTTATATATTTTCGAAGAAAATTCCATCAACGTGTCGAACTTTGTTATAATGTTTTTAGTTTCTTTTTCATGTAATCCTTGTTTCACTCAAAAAATATTGGAACTTTTTTGAATAAATCAATTAAAGAAAATGAATGGGTAAATCTTAGTCAACCACAATAAACTCCAGATCAATAAAGTAATTGGAAAAGTAATACATAAGATGAGATAGAGGTAACCAATCTTATTGAAACTTTCCGTTGTGGCTCCCATTAATCAATGGTGGAGACTATTTTACATATTTTCTTGAAGAATGCTTCGTTCTTCTTTTCGTTATCAAGATTAAAGAAGAGAGAACTAGGGAGAGAGAAAGAAGTCAAAAAAAACCCTTTACTGAAGGTTTTCTCCTACTATATATAGTCATGAGACCCTTGCTATGTACTTGGTCTGACGCTCTTTCACACTCTGTCTGCCTTGGTCGTCCCCTGAACGTTGTTTCTTCTGACTCGACAGATATCGTGAGCGCGATATATGGAATAGACCGTATTGTCTTTCGCTGCCTTGGCACTTGGACGGGATATTGATCAACTTGACCGCAATGATCAGATTTTGACCAATACAGTTAGTCCCTCCATCTGTCAGGGTCTTCCCTTGTAGAACCAGGCAGACGGATCATGATTGCTACAAATCTGAGAGAAAT